TACTGCCGAATGAAAGGAGAATACTTGATTGTGATTAGTCAATTCTTAGCTCGAATTAAAGTTGATAGAGAAATTTTTCACTTTTCACTTTTCCTAGGAAAACAGTTTCATGAATGGGAGCATTTAGAGGACTAAACAGTGAGCACTCGCTGTTATTGGTATATTCTTCTAGAACTAGAATTCTGATTGGATGAATTAAAAGAATATACTGATAACAACGAGTGTAACTGAACAGCCATTATAGATCCAGTGGTTACATAATTGATATCCAGCTCTATAAGGAATGCTGCAGCGGATGCTTTTTGCACTAGTTCAGTAAGTTCAGTTCAGCGATAACGAACAAACCTCGCAAAACAGTTGGAAAGCTGTTGTATTCTGCTGAACGTAGCCATAGCTTCGGGCGCGGGGCGCCTCATGTCGCGGGTTAACAACAATCGGCGAGACACGGTTAGACACGACCGTGAGAGTGAGCGTCAATAAAATTACGTTCGGCATTCACGCTTTTGTTGTTTATAACCATCTTCGTGTAGCAAACTGTGTGTTTAATCCCCGACGATGAGCGCCGAGGAAGAAGTGCTACGTATCCAAAAAAAGCTCAACAAAATGTCGAGTGGTGACGGGACGGTGAGTAATAAGTGAGTAAAATAAAGATCGCAGTATACTGAGATGCGCGCGCGCGCGTTAAAAGGAGTCTTTTAACGCTAGGAGAGCGCGCTTCATCTTTCAGTGATTCCGAGCATACGATTTCCAAATGCACAAAAAGCCGCGAACTTCTTGCACGGTTCATCTTTTCTCTCCAACGAGGAGAGAAAAGGAAGAAAGATAAACCGTGCAAGAACTTTAGTTAAAAAGAACAGACCTATGATTGCCAAGATATCATGGAAGCTTGTTTATCCATGGAATACTATTGCATGCTTACTCATTTTATATATTGTTTCAATTAAAAATAAAATCTTAAAAGTCTTTAATTTGATTCTTACATTGTGTAATTTTCATTATCTTTCAATGTTTATTTATTGCAAGATAATTTTTATAAATGTATTTTTGTTATAATTAAACTGAATCATTTAAAAGTCTTGTTATATGATTGTTTTCCTGATTATTTTTTGAAAAAAAAATCAAATCATATCAATGTTAATATCAATTTATTAAAATTATACTAAAACAAAAATTGCTTTACAATAACTATAATAGGCCTATTCTTTGTCATTGTACTTGATGGCACTAAAATATTCTATTTTGTTTTTGTCAAACTTCAAATATCTATTTTATTTTATTTACAAGTGTACACTAGTTATAAAAAACAAATCTTACATTTCGGTCAATCAGGGTCAAGAACAGGCTTTGGAATTACTTAAGATACTTCAAAAATTACCTGTTGACTTGGAGCTTTTGACTAAGACACGTATTGGAATGACAGTGAATGCCTTGAGAAAATCAAGTAGAGATGAGGAAGTTATTTCTTTATCAAAGACTCTTATTAAGAATTGGAAAAAGTTTTTATCGGGTATGTATAATGTAATTATTGTATAATGTAATTATGATATTTAAATGTAATTAATTTTCATATAGATATCTTTAATAATATTATATGCATAATTTAATTCTATTGTAATTTATTTGATTATTTTTAGGATCAAATAAAGAGAAAGATTCAACATCATCAAGTAGTTCAAAGAAGAAAGATGAGAAGCCAGATAAAGCGAAGGAAGAGAGTGATCACAAAAAAGAAAAAGATGTTATGGATGTCGATGTAAAAGTGAAGGAAGAAAAACCTTTCAAAGATATTCAAAGGAAACAGTCATCTTTTCCTGCTCCTATCACAACAGATGCAGTCAGATTAAAATGCAGAGAATTACTAGCGGCAGCTTTACATGTTGATGGAAAAGTTATCGATGGTTGTGCCAGTCCAGAAGAGTTAGCAGAAGAATTGGAAGAAGCAATCTATGCAGAATTTAAAAATACTGATAGCAGATACAAAAATAGGGTAATTAAACATATTATTTTATTTCATATATAAAATTTTTTCTGCCTCAGTAATCTAAATGTTTAGGACGCTCGCGTGGAATACTAGAGATCAGGGTTTGATCTACATCTCATTTTGAAGGAAAAAGATAGAATTTTTATGAAAAAAATATTGCTCAAATATTAATTTCAAATATTTTTTAGGATGTAAGGCTTTCTTTCCCTTCTTATTGTGCGTTCATGTGTATAATCCTAGAAACTTTGTTAAAATTTTTTTTCTTATGTACACTGCTGCCCAATTAAAATTGCAGCAATGGAAAAAACTTATATTGAACTGAAATTTATAAAATGGATAATAGAATAAAAATGAGCTGTACTTATAAGAAACATACCAGTTATACTTCTAAATTCCATATATCTTATATATCATAAACAATGTTTCATATAAATATCATTTCAATATCATGTCTTTTTTGATATTGCAATTTAATAGCAATTTAATCAGTATATAATGTAAATTTATGCTAAATTGCATTAATATATTTATAATTTTATATATTTGTTGAATACAGGTTCGCAGCAGAGTTGCCAATTTGCGCGATGTGAAGAATCCTAATCTCCGGACAAACTTTTTGGTAGGTGCGATCACGCCCGCTAGGTTAGCAGTAATGACAGCAGAAGAAATGGCAAGTGATGAGATTAAACAATTACGTGAGCAATTCAAGAAAGAAGCCATCAATGACGCACAACTTGCTACTGTACAGGGAACCAAGACCGATTTGCTCAAGTGTGGTAAATGCAAGAAGCGCAACTGCACGTACAACCAGGTGCAAACGCGTTCTGCCGACGAACCGATGACTACTTTCGTGTTGTGTAATGAGTGTGGAAATCGATGGAAATTCTGCTAAGCTATTGTTTCTTGATCTGTATTATGTCGTGACAAAATGTATATTTTAATCAGCTTGAAATTTAATATTTATAAGTTGAATTAAACATCATGATGTATATGGCGATTTTTTGTCGCATTATAAAAAAGGGAATTCTTTTCTCTTCAATTAACTGAATATAATTTTCGTATCTTTCAAATATTGTTAGCTTTTTTTTATCAAAAAATGGAATTACTCGCAACTTAATAATTATTAAATCTATAAAGATTTTACGATGTATCTGTTGTAAGTTGCATATAAATTTTATAGATTTTTTTTCTATTCGGAAACAATCAATTTCCTTTTGAACGATATATATATATATATATATAATAATTAAATTACACAGACTGTAAACAGCAGAGTACATTGTACATTGATTCATAAAGCATAGTGACATTCTCGAAGAATATGTTCCATAGCATTGTATTTATTGAAACTGCTCAATTAGATCAGAGCTTTGTGAAATTCTCAGGATTGGTAAAGATTAATATTTAAAACATGTTTTTTACCAACCTTGGAAAATCTGAATGCTTCTCAAAAATGGGAATATCTAATACAGGATGTCTCATAGGAATTGTTAAAACGAATCAGCTGTATTCATTTTTAAACGAATTAACTATATTCATTTTTTAACACAGGACATTTGGATTAAGAAATAGGAAAAATAAAATATTTTTTAATATAGGACATTTGACAGTTTCATTTACATAGAAAATAAAAACAATTGGAAGTGTTTGTATCATTTAAATGTTTATAGAAATACTAAATTTTGTCGATCTTAATAATATATATTTTTGAAATGCTAAATTCTTAATAGTATGTATTTTAGAAATTTAAAAACTAACATCTTTTTTGACCAAAAAAAAAGTATTTTTAAATTCCCGAAATATATATTATTAAGAATTTAACATTTCGAAAATAAGATTCACGACATATTTCATGTTTTTCAATTAAATAATACAAATATTTCCGCTTTACTTCCTTCATAAATGAAACAGACAAATGTTCTCTAATAAAAAGAATATTTTATTTTTCTTATTCGCTGTATGCATTTAAAAATGATAGCTGATTAGTTTTAATGACTTCTCATGGAATACTGTAGATGTATCTTTTAAGATACAAGCATAAACAATTTTACTTGATGTGCTTTTATTCTAATTGCGATTACTATCATGCTACGCGATTTTGATTGTATCTATCACTGTAAGTTTTCAATTATTCGTATGATAGTATAAATAGACTTACTTTGTCACTGTGCTGAAAAATTCGAATGTCTATAAGCGCTATAATAAATTGTCTCTACAAGTCTCTATATAAGAAATATACAGATACAATATAGTACAATACGAATCATTCGAGTTTTTTTTAAATTACCTTTCTATTCAAGTAATTCAATAATTACTTAAGCATATTTGTGAGTTTAAGGGGAATTTCAACGATATCTCTGTTTTACCAATAAAATGCGAAACATTACATACGTATTTTTATATATTATTACATCAATGATTGCGGTCAACAGAGATTCAACAGTTGTGAATCATAGAGTGCTTGAATGAGTGCTTGTGGTTCTTTTGCTTTAAAGAAAACAAAAAATCTTGCTTAAAATCAAAATAATGTTGGTGCAACCGGATTCAGAGGTATATTCGGGGAGATACTATTTGCGTCATTCTATTCTTGTTTTAATAATAATAAACGATGAAATTAGAACACAAATAGCTTATTTGTAACGCGTTTTTACATAAAACGAAAGAATCTGGCAGAAATAAGCATTGCCCCGCTCTGCTCCGAGAACCGATCGGAATTATTCAATTATTCCTTAGATTTCTCTATTGTCTTTAGGGGAAACTGAGTAATTCCGATCGAATTCATTTCGACTTGTTCCATAATAGATATTCCGGTATACCATTCCTATGGATGCGCAGTCGTTCAAGTAATGGTCGTTCTTGGACCCAACGCAAAAAACTAGATTTGTATCTAGGCCATATTCGTATATTATTACTAGTTGACCAGTTGACTGCCAGTACTGAAAATAGTTCCTGTTACGTATATACTACACTATATTGACAACCGGCAGAAATATACGAACATAACCCTTGTTAACATCCGTTTCTGCAAAGGATGGTAATGCACAAGGTATTTTGCGATACAAGCAAAAAAGGCCGTCTCTCTCTCTCTCTCGCTCTCTCTCATACACATCCTCTTTTCTTTCTCAGATTTCTTCGCTATAATATATGTAACGTATATTATAGTATTTCCATAATTTTCACGTATGCGACAGTTTTCAAGAATAGACCAATAAAAGCTCTGGGTTGCTCTTCACATGCTTGGGACTGCATTGCATTAGCGAATTATGAGAGATCCTGATCTATTGACAGATATTTTGGAGTTGTCAAATGATTCGCCCGAGATGGATCTCAGTATCCACCCGGAAAGACAAAGATTTCCTTTCTGTATCGTTTGGACCCCGTTACCCATCCTAACGTAAGTTATTCTAAATGTGTTCTTATCATAACCTCAATTCTATGTATTTAATATTTGTCAGACTAACAATGTTTATTATTATACATTAATATTAATCGTAAAATATGAAAATAATTCATGAAATATACGAATTTTTCATTTAAGTCAAGATTAATAAGCTAAATTTATTAATCATGCATTAATCATGCTAAATAAGTTATGGAGTTTGTATAGTTAATATAATTTACTTTATTTTCAAGATATATTCTACCTTTTATTGGACACATGGGTATTGCGACGTCAACAGGAGTAATAAGGGATTTTGCTGGTCCTTATTATGTTTCTGAAGACAATATGGCATTTGGTAAACCTACCAAATATTGGCAGCTTGATTATACCAAAGCTAAAGGAAGCATACAAGGATGGGATGCTGGTGTAGCAGAAGCTAGCGAAATTTATAAAACCAGAATGGTAACGAAATGAGAAGATAGAAAAATCTCTTATGTTTGCAATGCAAAATTAACTTTCTTACAGCATAATTTATGCTGTGATAATTGTCACTCACATGTGGCAAAAGCCTTGAATTTGATGTCGTATGGTAATTCGAACAGTTGGAATATGGTAAAACTTGCATTACTTATGTTACTTCATGGGAAATACGTCAGGTAAAAACAATGTCTATAAATTAAAAAGAAATTATGTATGTAATTTTTATTATTAATAATTATTTATTATGTTAATTTCAGTATTCTGGGTTTCCTTAAGACCTGGTTACCTTTCTGCATATTTGTTACAATTGTACTAGTATTAAGTTTATGTGTATATTAATTTAAGTCTATGTATATATTAATTACACATACATCGCTGTTTTAATAGAAAAGTGAGATATCGCAAAATTAGTAACTTTTCAGTAGAACATGTTTTAATTTCTAAATTAAAAAGTTTTAAGATAATGCATAACTTCACCATGTTACTATACTTTCAATTATACATATACCTCTATTATACTTTCAATTATATATATTTAAAATTATGTCAAAGTTTTTTGTAAATTCGAATACTGCATTCTAAACAAATTTTTTACTTGTCACTTTTTTTTATCAAAGTAGCTATATATACGTAATCAATTACAGATTTAACATGTCCATTTAATATATAATTCTATTTAAGATATATAATCTTTTCTCTAAATATCCTGTGAGAATTTAATACAAAAATAAAAATATCTTCATATATAAATAGCTTTTCTGAAATAGCGGTTTTTTTATTGCAGCTTCAGGTACAGATATTAGTTATAAAGAAATTTCATATGTCCAGAAAACTTTTGAAGGGAACCAAGTCATATTCTATTAGTAAATATAACATCTATTTACATTTGTCGCATGTAAATATAATTTATTTAATTTTTACAATTTAAAATACACATATACATTAACTATATATAAGCGTTATGTAGTAAAATTAAGTCTAAGATATACGGCTATATCTGACATCTATACATGGCTTCTCATAACATTATATTGTGTATGCTTAAAAAAATTTTATTATTTTTTACATTTTCTTTTATACGCAACTATATAATCAACTGTCTTCTTTTTAAAGCATTTCTTTTTAATAAAACATGTAAAATCAAATATAGGCTTTAATTACATGTGTAGTATTGTAACAATAATGGCAATGACACTTTTCCTTACGTGCAACTTAAATATAAAATATGTAAAAAATAAATTTTAATTTTAATAAAGTTCTTTTTTTTTGTAATTCAAGTCTGCAAACTAATTTTTTTTTAACAATTAAACATTCATGTATTAATTATTCTTGTAACTATTTAAAATGTTTCACGTTTCTATTTGTTCTTATATGAAAAATAGAAACGTTTTCGAAAAAAATGGCTTGTGTAAAATAGAAAGATCAAATTTAACTGCTACGTTTTCTATAACAGTGATACAACCTTTTTTTAAGGGCTATCTTCGAAGGAACATTTTCACATGTTTTATGCAAACTTCGTTTGCATAAAATAGAAAATATGGTTTTATATTTTTGGCTGTGAATCAGAGGACCACAAGTAGGCCGCAGGTTGCGCATCACTATACTATAGCATTATTATTCTACACGATATTTGCTTTTTTAAAATGAATTTTATTATATGTGTATATAAGATATGTGTAGCATTTTCAACCGAGCGAGTTTATACTTAAGTTGGATTAATGCTCTACTATTGACATATTCTACCAATAGGAGAGGAATCATGGAATCATAATTAATCCAACCCAGGTCAGTGCAAACTCTTATAGGCTATAAATTTGATTTGTAGAATTTACATTCTTATTACGTATGTAAAAATAAGATTCAAAAAAGTTTCAAGTCAGTCGGTAGTTCTGCTATCCATTTCTGTAATAACTCCAGTTTCAAGAGAGAAATCATAATTGTAATTCTGATTCTCTAATCTTTCAATGAAAGACATTATTTCGCTAATTCGTAGACTGTCTATCTCCAAATCACTATTCATGTTTCTTTGCAACTGTTTACATAATTTAAATGGTACATCACTTAGATAATGTGGAGCATCAAGTTGTTGAGTCAATTTTGGTAAATTACCATCTGATATTGTAGGGTTCATTGCTGTTCCATCAATAAATGGATATAATCTATTAGGATAAAGAGTATTGTGGTCACCAACATTAGGTGGTAAGGAGGGCCTCCTTCTTTCAATTACTATGAATTCATCTCCTAGATCTGTGGAAGGTCGTTCCTCTTGCTCATCCCTTTCAGGAGGTGAATCCTTGTGCTTCTTTTTGCCAAAGAGCCAAGACATTTTCTATAAAATATTTTTACTTAAAAATTTGTTCTAATTCTTTATTGTAAATAGATAATTGGATAATTCATTACAAAAAACTTACACATGGGACCTTAACCTCAGGATCATTGACCTCGACAACATATGTCAAAGTCAAGATCATCTGAGCTGTGTAAGTTTTTGTAAAGAATTGAACAAGTATAAATTAACCTACTACAGATTAATCTATTAAAGAAAGAACATAAATATAAATAAAGTTCTATGTGTTGATGAAACATCAACATATGAAACTTTATTTATAACATACTACTAGAACTGTAAGCACTTCTAAAATACTGTCTGCAAATCTCATTTTTAACTTTACAAGCGTTTTCGACGATGTTTTTCGTCAATCTAAATCTCTAACTTTTAAGTTTACAATGCCCGTTTCCATCAATGTAGATTAAATTTAATCTCAGGTCAATTTATTTTTCGTCTTTTTCCAATTCTAAATGAAGAGTAAATTGAATCAAGATTAAAATTAATTTGCATTGGTGAAAATAGACATAAGGCAAAGTAAGATTCTTCTTCTTAGAGAAAAAATGACCCTATTACAGAATCGCTATGGTCAGAATCGAAACATCCTATGCAACGAGTATAGTAATAAAAACTAATTAAAGGGGTTGGCAAACGTTACTTTTCAGTTACTTTGCCATTACTTTTTACAATAAATGATTTGATGACAATGTTGCAATTTTTTATGACAGTAACGTTAATTAACTAACACTAAAATTGTACTTAAATTAAAAGAGTTACTTTGAAAAGTACTTGTCATCAATATACATTATTGAAAAAAATTAATAAGTAACGTATAATGTTACAAGTAATAAGTAAAAAGTAACGCGTTACAAATTAGGAGTTTTTTTTAGTAACAAATGATTTTTTTCAATCTATTACAAGTAACGATTGACTTTTCTAACTCTGATGTTACCATTACCATCATAAAAAATTCACAATGTCATTAAAATCGTTATTATAATAAGACAACGATCAATAAAGTAGCGGCATTACAAGTAACGCATTATTTCAACCCTGTTAAAGAGTAAAAATTTTAGTGAAAATATAGATTCATGAGTGACATAAAATTAAATGCGCATTTAAAGTCGATCATTTTCCAAAAATATAGCAATGATGCAACACTCGTTGCTTGCGGTGAACTCTGGCAAAGTAAGATATTGTTTTACAAAAATTTTTTAGTCTTTGAAAGATTAAATAAGCTCTGCATAATTGTGAAGAAAAATTACGAATTGTTATAAGATGTATGTAAGGGAAAATTGCAGGATTTACTTACATGGAGGTTAAAAAGAAAGCGCACTTATATCACATTCAATAAATGGCCCATACCATTTATATCTGCTTTTTTATTACTGCACTAAACTGCACCAGAATTCTCTTTCTTGTGTTTCCGTCAAATATTAAATATATACCTATTCCACTTTAAATTCCAAAAGTACATTAGTTCAGCCCAGGTCAATTACAAAGAATTGACCCCATAATGTTTACTTAAGTATTGTTTGTTTTGTTTTCTCGGGAGCTGCCCGGGATTGCTCCGAACGAGCCCAACTTGAAATCACTTGAAATGTATTCGCACTACGACATACGATGTCCGTCATTCATCGTTATGGGTCGATTTACGGACTTTAATCGACTGATTAGTCCATTGACCAATCGCATTTTGATCATGTTATCCAATTGCATCGTAGATCTGTTCACATTTGTACTTTTTACATTCAGCATCTTCGCTTTCTCTCTTTTCAACACCCAAATATGTATTTATTTCATTTTAAGTTCAAAAATTTTTGGATATTCAAGCAAACAGATCTATAGCTCTGGGTTGCATTCGGATTCCTACCCGGATGCTCCTTAGGTGTCATGTCGTTCTTGTTTAACGTTCGGTAAACAACAAAGATGATATGACATCCGGGGAGCATTCAGGTGGAAATCCGAACGCAGCCCTGCGTGGCCAGTTGTAGGGACTTTTGAGACGAAACAGCTGATTGCTCTCGATAGCACTGTCCCCACTATCCGATCAATGGCATCGTCCTTGCCCCTCGGTATTCGATCGATGAGTCTTGATACTTCTTGTCACTCTTGGTACTTGTGGTACTTGGTAATGATTAGTGATTATCAGTGAATTCATCACTGTCATTAGTGATGGTTGCAAAAATGCAGTAAAGATTTAGGCGATTTTCGATAGATATCGCCAATTGTGACATTTCAACAGGTTGTCAGCGATTAACTCGCGGTAATTATTTCCCTGCCTGGTTCCGTATCCATACGATTATTGTCAGTTTCTCGAAGGCATACATAGTATATGCATCCTTATCGTCAGCAGCAATAGCACCTCATGACTTGTGACATCTTACCGTGATGTAGCAGACGCCTCTAATCACTCAATCAGCTCCCCTCGCCAGTTTAATGATTTCGAATAAATTCAATAAATATGATTTCACGCTTATCAGCTCGTTATATCAAACGCATCCCGTGATCTTACCTTGGTTTCTCTAATTGGTTTCATCTCACCAGTTTTATGTTTGACGCATCGCGTCAGGTAGTCATAGTTGTCAAGTTTGTCATTGTATTGTGTGGTTACCTTTGCCCGTTTGATATCAATATTGCAATTGTGTATTTCAGCTCGGAATGTAATTTACTGCTGGAAATTATCTTTCCCGCTTTGGACATTGTTCTGATTGACAGCCCAGAGATATGTGACTGACAGTATTTATTTTGAAACAATTGTTCTAACATTTAATTTTCCAAGCCAACTCTTTTGTAATAAATTATATATTTACTTTCTGGTTTGTGATAAAGTTATGTTTTGGTTAGTTGATCTCAGAAATATTAGCATTGAACAATAAAATATACAGATTTTATTTATTGCAGTATGGTAATTATTTTCAGATTGTCTGCAAAGATGACCGCAGGAACCAGTTTAGTGGTACCCATAGTACTGTGGGGACGCATAGCACCAACCCATTGTATTTCTTGTGTCTACTTGTCTCGGGATCAAAAGACTTTGGTAACAGGATGTTATGATGGACAAATATGTCTGTGGCAAGTGGATCCAGAAACATTAAAGGTATATATAGAATAGATAATAAAGTTGCAGAAAGTTTAATCTTTCATTCATTATTGATTTGTTAAAATGGTTTTTAATATAGATGACTCCGAGATGCCTGCTGGTTGGACATACTGCTCCAATAATGTGTCTTAGTCGAGCTAGTGTCATAATGGAGCAAAATTTCATCGTCAGTAGCAGCGAAAGTGGAGAAATGTGCACTTGGGATCTAGTCGATGGAAAGTGTCGTGAGGCAGTGAAACTTAATAGCGTTCATACACAAATGTTGCCCTATGTTTCCGCAGGTGGAGAGGATGTCAGATTATTTTGCTCTGGGTAGAAATAATATTAGTATATATGTTACAATATTAATATTGCATTTTTCAAGAATACATGTATATACGTCTTTTTTTTTCATTTTAGATACTATCCCGAGGTTTTAGTGATGGATCCGTTCAGTTTAGAAGTGCTGTTTACCCTGAGTTCCCGCGTCAATCCAGACTGGATTAGCGCCTTGCACGTTTTGCGGCCGGCCAAACGGAAAGGTCGGTTCTACGTGCATACAAGTTAGTTACACTCCATCACACCTACGCTTTATACCATCAACAGCTACCTTCTTCAATTTCACTGCCAACAGATACTGTATAAAGAGAAATCGCAATGTAGCTTGAATTACAAATTTGTTTTTAAAGTTTAGCGCGAGAATTTGATTTGAATCTTTTATCTATTGCTATATCTAAAATTATTTTCTTTCTATTTCTAATAGTTTTTATATAGTCAATACTCAATATTTTTTACATAAAGAAAAATTCAGTAACGCGAAACAGTATCTCTTGGTGTTTCATTATTTTGTAAACTTATGTGATCCTTTTTAAAATTTTTGAAGAATTTTAAGTAAAGAACTGTGGATATACTTAGCGGTAAAGTTTCTCCTTTTCAATTGTGTCTTCGATTGATTTTTGTGTCTGATGAATGAAATTAAGTTGAATAATAATTCTTATAATGATTATACTAGTATGATTTTAAAGCAACTAACAATATTTGAGGTACCTGTACAAATATTTCTTTTATATTTAAGATTTTCTTAGGATTTTCTTAGGATAATCTGCTATTTTATCATTCTTTTATTAAGCAATTAACCTCAAGAAGCTTTATGTTTTGGATATAAACAGGAATTGTTTTTTTTTTTTCATCAATATGTTGAGCTATTATTTTTTTATAATCTATTACTCAATTTTACGTGCGCGAGTAAAGTCATTTACATTATATCTAGTTTGATAGTAGCAATTTTATATATCTAATATTTTTGGATTGATCACTTAATAACAGTTACATTGTTGCAGCATGTTAATGAAACCGGACACATATGTCAGCGCTAATGCGTTGGCAGTCGAGGCTGTATCACTTCTTTCGTTTATTTTTTTTTTTCTTAATCATGATTCACACATCTCTTTGCAAATTATCAAACAATATAATCATTAGTACTAACTCGTTTCATTTTTCTTCTTTTTAAATTAACATAGTACCCATGAAACTATCCTGTTACTCATATATGAATGTCATCTATATCTATGCACATTGCATTTCATTACACTTTCATAACACTTTCACCTGGTGTACTATGTTTCTATCTCTATTCGTAAGTATATATAAAGTGTGTGTGTGTGTGTGTGTGTGTGTGTGTGTGTGTGTGTGTGTGTGTGTGTGCGCGCGCGCGCGCGCGTGTATGTATGTGTGTGTAATATTATAATATAATCTATACACGCGTGCAACATTTAAGTTGCACGCTCTATTGATAAATTTAATCTCCCGTATCATTGTGACAATTAAAAACATATGATTAATGTTTTAAATCATATTGAATACTTCATTGAACAAAAAAATTATTTAATAAGTGAAAAATATATTATAATTGAAATATATATTTTTTCTATCCCTTTTTCTTGTAATTTATAAGAGAGTTTTGGATGAAATGCTAGTGTTTATAGCTTTAAATGTAATTCGCCCTAAAATTAATTTCTAATTTTTATAGCGCTTTTTATATTTATAGTTATGCTAGAATGTTAATTGATAGTCAATATTTTCTTATTAATTGTATGTGGACTTATAAAATCATTATACATAAAGTCAAACTAATCGTAAACAAAGATCTTGAAGTAAATTAAGGATAGGACTGTTCGCAAAAAATACAAATATCAATATCCATTAAGCAATTGTACATATTAATACTCTTTTAATTAATACTCTTTTAATCATTAAAATAAGATTTCGCTTAGTCAAATTAAATAAATCAAATACAATAATTTTTTCTGCATAACTGGAATTAAGCATGACTTTGCTGTAATTTAATGCGTATCGCTTTTTACTCCATAAAAACATCTGGCATGTACGCGTAATATAATACGCTATACGTATACAGAATTATTATCGCTTCACGAATATTATATTGTTTATCTATGTAGAATAATGCTATCTTTAATCCTGTGACATTACTTTAGCTGCTTTATTCAATCTGACAAATATTTATTTGTAAATTAATTATATTGATTAATTGAATTGCTGGCAAATTTTTTTATTATTAGCGAACAACAAAATTGTTCGAATTCCTAACGAAACATTCTATCGCTTCAATTGCTACAATGCTCTCCTAGATTTATTTAACGCGCAACAGGCGCTTCCATTCGTTTAAAGACGACGTCGTATTGGCTCTGACAACAACGGGCACAGTCAAGGTGTGGACGCTTTTGGGACACGAAAATCGAAACAGCGAGCCTTTATACGAGCATGAAAGCAAACAGATCCGCTGCTTGAATGCGCTTGCGATGACTTGCTGCCCCTATAATCAGAGAACAGTGCTGATTGTATGCTCTAAGTATTGGCAGGTAATTACTATTGTACTTACTATTGTACTTATCATCAAATATATAATTAGACTTTTAGTTTTATTATAAAAATTAGAGATTACATCAAATCAGATTAAATAATTTCAAGAATAGAATTTCAGCATCAGACGTTTTTTAAAACGTTTTATGTTAATTGGCATCTGTTATATAATCAAAAGCTGCCTTGATACTGCAATATATCATTGGAATAATTTTATAGATATTTGATGCCGGTGATTTCTCGGTTCTTTGCTCGATAACTGCCCCACGTGGCGAACGTTGGATGGCAGGTGATTTTTTGGCGGCTGATAGGGTCATCCTGTGGAGCGATGAAGGTCATGGATATTTGTATAAACTTCCAGCAAAGTACGTACTGTTTAACACAACGTACGCGATAAGTTTCTACGATAAATGCCACTGATTGTCGAGTATATTTTAGAAATATTTTTTAAACAATTTGGTTTTTTCTCCCTAATTGATAGTAACGTTGCTCGACAAACGAATTAATTTTTTCTCTCTCTCTCTTTCTCTCTCTCTCTTATACCTCAATTTAATATTTTCAATTGAGTGACATAACGTAACAAATTCAATACGCGAATATTGAATTTTATTGATTAGCACATCCCTTTATTGCTTCTAGGATTCTGGTACAACTTGACAGGTAGTTTATTTCCGCGTATATATATATATATATATAAGTATTAAAATTCTTTTGCAAATAATATCTAACAATATTTTTGTGTGAAAAAAAGAGTATTAATAGTTTAGTAGCATGATCATGGTTACTAAAGTGCACTTTATTGATTTTATGAAGCAGTTTATAGCGATTAACAAATGCTGAAATAGCGATTTAAATAGCTAAATACTTCATCATAATTTACGCGATACATCTTTAAGAAATAATTTCATAGATGTTTCACAGCTGTTATTTTAATCTTTAATACTTTACGTGTATGTGAATAATAAGTGACATAAAAAAATATCGCCAAAATTACTCTGAATTTCTAGCATATTTTTAGTATATTTAACTGTGTTAGGCGCGTTAAGTTGAAAATAAGTTCTCTACTTTCAATCATAAGGCTGAATGCTGTAGAAGCACTCGCTGGCAATGCACACGTTCAATATTTTATTTTTTACCTTGTTTGTAACCATTTATCATACGCCTACATATTCAGAGTTACATTATTGTTTACTAAAATCCCGCACATTTAATAACCCGATTTCATGAAATAAAAGAAATAACGCATCTTTTGTCTTCATTATTCCATTTGACTTCTATAAGACATATAAAGAATATTTCGAATGTAATTTTTACACATAAGTTGATAATGAAAGAGTATAATTAATAAGTATTAATAAAACAATATAGACTTGAACGATGATCAATTATTAATTAAATATAGTTGTTTTATGTATTTTATTCTTCCATATGAAAATAATTATCGAGTTCCTCTTTGGGGGAGTTTTGTGGGATTCGGGGTAGTTTAGCATTTGGCTGAAAATAGCACAGAACACAACTTTCGTCCACGTACATGAATTAACAATTAACACAATATCTTTTACGGTGATGTCTTTTTCATATTATTCACATCTACTGCATTCTACGCGGGATCTGGTGTTCTAGCAAGCTGAAGGGCAAGGCTCTCAGCAGGTAACCCGCATTATCACTTGTACATGTTCTTCATACTGTTCTCTCTTTTTATTTTCCTCTTCGTCTCTTTATGTTATTCATTTTTGTCCATTCTCCTTCATCTTTCTCTTCGTAAACACAATAATTTGCTTTCTTCTTTGGGACAAGGTGATAATAAATTTAGTAGAATAGTATCGTGAATTTTGAATTACTCGTATTGATGTCATTGGTAAAGTTACAGTGTACAAATTCATCAAATTTCACGTTTTGTTTTAACAAGTTGTATTACATTATTAATGACGCTCCTAAACACCCGATGGTATTTTCATCTTTTCTCATTTTCTCATTTTTATAATGAATATCAGGAATTCTTATTTACATACAAGCCTTTACATACAAGCTCGTACATATTCGTTTGTATACTTTCGTTATATGTTCTGCAGTATAGTACACGAGACACGCGTGTAATCGTGTCCATCATAATCCTTGACAATCCTTAATCGCAATTCAAACAGATAATATAGATGAGGTGAAAGAAGGTAAATGCGAGGAAGAATTATTGCCATATTTCATTACTTATGTTCTCATATTCTGTTTGCTTTAAGTTGCTTTGCACTGTTATTATTAACTGTGCGATTAATATTAATGTAATAACGACGTGACACAAAGGTAATTCGTTTGAAAAAAAAAAAAAATGTTTTTCTGAGAGCAAAATATTTCAGTATTAAAAAATCAGTGCAAATAAATGGAAGAAGATATATATATTTTGTATTTTCAAGTTTATAATTTTTTTCTTTCTAGCACAAAAATAATTCTGACTATTTTAATTTTAAAGTATTAATATTAAAAATATATGTGCCAAGTTTTGACCTTTTTTATTTCTACCTTTGTGTATCGTTTATAATGATCTAAAAATCTGCTGTTGCTTTGAAAAGACGTTTACTTACAGCGTTTGCTTACTATTAAACCTAGTCAGCAAATAGACACGCATATTTGAAATTGCAATATGAAGCTTATGCAATGTGAAAAGATAATTACTATTCTTGGACACGTTTTCGAATATGTATCTCTAATATATAAAAGATTTAAATGCATTTGGCAATATTCTCTTAACTATAACATATAAAAAACAATGTCCATGAATAGTATTTTATTTAGATATAGAGATGAAAATAATGAATCTTCTTTTTATAATATACAGTAGCGTCGCGGATAATAAGGACTTTCACACCGCCAGTGCAGAGTACGATCAACCATATCTGTACTGTACATTAATGCAACCTGGAGATAAGGTAAGAAATTTTGTTTCCATATATTAATAATAATAAACATTCGTGTATCCTTGATAATTTTATTATACGCATCTTTTGATGTTTCATGTTCAATTTTAAAACTCTATATAATTTCTTCTTTTATTCCTCAAAGTTTCTTTTGTCTTAGAAATTTTGGATTCTAAAGATTGCTAGTCGTAGAATGCTCATACATAACATTCTCAATTTCTTTGCTTCCACTTTTCTCGATTTCTTCTAATTTTTACGTATTTTCTAACATACACGAATTTTCATCTTCTATGGTGGTTCAGCCTCTTTCCTGCCCTCCGGCCATGCGACTAGTTACCGTGCAGCGTCAAAACAAGACTTTAAAATATCTGTTACGTGGAGATAGCGAAGGTGTCGTTATCCTATGGACAGTACCGGAGGTGACAACGCAACAACTCGCCCAAATCTGTCAGAATGATGGATCATCACCACCAGCATTGTCACCGACTGTGAAGACGAGCCTCACCGCTGCCTGGGACGCAATGAGGCCGCCTCCTGTAGGGATACTTGATCAGTTGGATACAGGCGATGGTCATGGCATCAAGCTCACAGCTTGCATATACTTGCCTCAACAAAGTCGGCTGGTCGTTGGTCGTGAGGATGGTAGTATCATTATTGTCCCGGCGACGCAAACTGTAATGCTTCAGCTACTCCACGGCAATCATCAGCAATATGATGGTACCGTATTTTTATTATTTCTTTAATTAAATTTATATTTTAAATATCGATAATGATGAATCTCTCTAACAATAAGCTACATATTTATTATTTCACGATACTTGTACAATAAATTAACACGACACAATATAAAAATAATAATAATAATTAAAAAATAAATTATTTAAAATGTAATAACACTAATAGCTACAACTCACTTTAATATCAGAATTTTTTTGAATTTTTAATTGTTCTTTATATATTCAGATTGGCCACCACATCAAGTTCTGCTGGGTCACTCGGGACGAGTAAATTGTTTACTTTATCCTCATGGTGCAGCACCTCGTTACGATCGTACTCATCTCGTTTCTGGTTCTGTGGACTTTGCTGTTTGCCTCTGGGATTTATATGCCGGCACGTTAATCCATCGATTTTGCGTTCATGCCGGTGAAATCACGCAACTGATGGTGCCGCCTGATAATTGCAGTGTACGATTATTTGTTTATTTTTATCATAAGAATTTACAATGATTTAATTTAATTAATTTTAAACTGCTTCAATGTTAATCCATAAGAAATATCTGCTAAAATTTGCTAAAAATTGATTAATGTTTAATTTACAAAAAATTACGTATTCTTATTTTATGCAGCCTAGGATACAAAAATGCGTTTGCAGTGTTGCATCGGACCACAGTGTTACATTGCTCTCATTAGCGGAAAGAAAATGCGTTGTGCTTGCTTCACGACATCTTTTTCCAGTTGTAACTATCAAATGGAGGCCATTAGATGATTTCATGATAGTTGGATGTTCAGACGGTGCTGTATATGTCTGGCAAATGGAAACTGGTCATTTGGATCGCGTACTGCACGGTTTGTTTACTCCATACTCATTGATTTCAACTACTGAATATTTTTCATAATTTTTTAATCTTTCAATACTTCGGATTTTTCAAATTTTTACTTCTTCAGAGTTTTGAAAATATTTATTATGTTACACTCTGTCTTAAATTTTGTTATATTTCTATATTTTAAAAATTGTACATAAAATTCACGCGCGCACGCAGGGACAGCGAATTGTATATTTTTTTTCTTCTAGGCATTATTGCGGAAGAGGTGCTCTATGCTTGCGACGAGAACACTATAGCGGCAGCCGGCGGATCCGCCGCCGGCGGTGAGTTGGGACTAGCTAATCCTGCCGTGCATTTTTTTAGGTAAATGAAATCTTGCTGCATGAATGGTGAGAATCTTGCGTGTTCTTCAGCGAAGTAAAGCCTCCGGGATAACGTTCTCCGACGTTACAGTCCATTCGATTTTTACTTCTCAGGGGCTTGCGTCATCGGAATTTATCGGCGATCAGACATGCGACGCAAAGAGGACTGCATCAATTGCAACAGCTACATGGTGGACATGGTCCCGACCATGGGAGTCAAATAAAAGCCAAAGGTTCGCCACTGATGATTCAAGGATTCAGAAGTAATCCGAAAGATCCGGAAAGTCATATTCTATTTTTCGACATAGAAGCGCTGATAGGTATGTAATTATTATATTTCACCTCTTATCACTTCTTTTAGAAAAATTGAACTTTTTTTCTATCTGTGTAATTCTTCTTTTATTTATTTTAGAGCAGCCGTCGATAACCTTTACCTTGAACAAATTATCCGTTGATCGTCCTTCGTTAAAAAGTTATTAACAAAAAAAGTTTAAAAAATAGTCTCTTTTCTACTACACAAAACAAAAATTCTCTGCTTTAAAATATATTTTACGATTTTCCACGCGAAGTGATTCGGGATCGTGACCTTGACATATGTCAAGATCAAGGTTATCGACGGCTGCTTCCCTTTTGTCCAGTTTTACCTTCACTTTTTAATCTTTGCACTGTATACTAATTTATATTAGAGCATCAGTTGTGATGATAATTTAATTTCTTTTTTCATTGCAGTACAATTACTCAGCGATGAGTATGGTGCCATGTCGCCTGGTTCCTTAGAAGCACAAGGACTTATTTCCGCCGCCGAATATCAAAAAGTTGCAGCACTCACTCAGTCCGCTAGTCCCGATGCTCATAAGAAAATTGTTGGTAAGGATCTTATCATATTACTCTGAATTATTAAATTTTATTATTATGATAAAATATGTTATATTTTAAAATATACTATTGTAGATAGGTACATCATTTCTTCGCAGTTTTATCCGTTTAAAAATAAAGTATTGAACTTCTCTATTAATCTATCCTTTTGTAGACTTTTTTGGTCGCGTCAAGGATAAGGCGGGTGATGTTGAACGAATATTGAAGGAGAAGGATCGTCACGGTATCGTGTTTTCTTATTGTTAACTTGTTATTGTTCTAATTGTCAACTTTTTTCATACAGTAATATATGTTTTAATTCACTGTTTACTTATTTTTTCATCTTAGTATCTTAAAATTTTTATGTCTCACATCGTTGAATTTTTTTTAATTCAAGTAATTATAAATTTCTCTTCGCAAATTTGGTTACTATACTAGATTAGTGCATACTAAAAGCTGCTTAAAATTAGAGAAATTAAATGCATCATTTTTTTTAACAATTAAATATTCGGTAATATTGTCATGTTATTTAACAGAATGCGTATGTTTATTTCATTATCGAAGTTGAGATTATGTCATTGCATTTAGATATTTTATATAATAGCTTTTAGTGTGCACTAATCCATTGGTGAGAATGATACTTTTCTAATTCACCATCATTCTTTTCTAATTCAAATGTAACTTGAGATTTCTCATTTTTCTTTAGTAAGGGTTTTAGTATTAATGTTTCTTATTTTTCTTTAGTAGTATTAATGTTTTTTTTAGACTGGTTCAGTTCGATCATCGGTAGATATTTTCTTGTACTATTTTTCGATTATCGTGCTATCTAAAGACAGATTTTTTTCTGTAGGTATATTGGCTAAGATGAAGGAGGGTGCAGAGAATGTGCATACTAAATTACAGGCCAAAGCGGAAAGCGTCGGCCTCAAGCCGTCGACATTTGACGGCAAAGGTTAGACATGTATCTTTGACAACGACAAGTTTTTATAGTTCATGATTACAGTGTGTTTCGCACGAATTTATTTTGTATTTTAGAATTCCCATTTACACTTTATTCTCACATCAATAGAAGTCATAGTTAATTTCTTCAAAGCACTAAATAATCCCCTTATCATCGATCCCTATATTCTCTACATTATGTTTTTAACAATTCCATTATTACTAAATACCAAGTCGAGAATCATCAAAGAGATGAATCATTACTATTAAGATATAGCTTTAATTTTATAGATATGTACGCTTATAAAAGCCTATAAACAGAATTTAATATATATCTTCACTGAGTTATCACTTGCTTCTCTTTAATATAATAATTGATTGTGATGCGTCTTTTTCCATTCAAAGATTATAAACAGGGTGTCTGGTAATCTCATCGTACGTTTGCATTTAAATTTGGCGGTAGGCTAGGAGAAGTTTATTTGATCTTTAATAATTAATTTCTCATTAATTATTTCGAAAATCGCAAAATGATACAGAACTTTTCAACTCGATTTAGTTGGTTCTACTTTTCCACAAGAATACTCCGGTTTTTATCAGACACCTTGTATATTAGCTATTTATGCGTGTGTTAATAGTGAGTATATTTTAGGAATTGTATTTGATGAATTTTTATCATTACATTTATATTTATTCTTTTATATAATCTTGTTTTTCAGTTGCATTACATCATAGCTGTTTTTGCTGTTTTGTTAAATATTTTTAAAAATTATTGCACTGTTTATATTTATTTGATTTTGCAGGCGACAGTTGGAATAACAGCGATGCGGCGAAGAATAATTTAAAGCGAAACGGTGCATTCAGTGAACCAAATGCAACGATGGAAGTAGCGCAGTTGCTTTTGAGTCTTCTGCACGCCTGGGGCATGGATCCAGATTTAGACAGAGTTTGCGAAGGAAAGTTGGGTTTACTGCGACCTATGGTTCCTGTTTCATTCGGAGTGCTATCCAAAGGAGGTATGTCTTAATGTGAAATTGTGCAATGTATATTATTTAAAAATAACCATCTGCTACAATTTATTACATATAGTCATGATTTTAAAATATTTGAAAAAGATTTGTTAGTCTAGGCTCTAGTTTCTATTCATTTACATTATATGTACAAATAGTAATTATTCTTTATTTAATGTAAAATATATTTACAATAAAAAAGTATTAAACATTTTTTGTCAAATAAAAAAAAAATATATATATATATTGCAGGTTATATGTCACTGTTATTACCAACTTGGCAGACGCAGCTCGAGCCAGTCGGTGAACCTGCAACTCAATTGGAGCAACGCTTGCCCGCTGAACTAGTTAGGCAAGAAAGGCTCACTAGAGCATTCACAGCGAGAGCCCATTGGGAATTATCGACAACCTTAACGAGTAATCATTTATTGGCAGTAGTTGCTTTATCGAATACTTTAATGTCGATGAACAATGCAACATTTGTACCTGAGCAAGAACGAAACCGCAAGATGCATAGGTAAATTAATATATCTTTAAAATGATCAAACTATGAATAACACTAGAATGCAGTTAATCATTCCTAATTATTGTGTATTTGATTCTTATTTCAATATAATTTATAGCATGTTTATAAAAAAGAAAATTTAAATCTGATTGTACATAAAGATATATGAAAAAAAAGTTTGAAAAATAAATTTTAATAAAACCGATTTTTAAAGGCCGGGTAATAGAAGTGCAGTAAACTGGAATAAGACAGAGGAGGAAAATGAGGAAATGTACACAGTACAACAAGCGCAGATCAAACAGGGTTGGTCTCTCTTAGCTACCTTACATTGTGTACTGTTGCCTGATAAAGTTGCGGCACAGGGTGGCGCGAAGACCTTCAAACGTCCACAAGTAGAGATGATGGCACGAAGATGGCAACATCAGTGCGTGGAGGTTTGTTGCTAAACTATTGAGAGAGGGGG